GACTGTGCCGATACCGCTATCCCCCGGACCTCTCTGGGGTGCGCTCTGACCCGGATTTCGAGGCGAATCCGACGGTGGCGACGAGGGCCTCCAAGGAGGCCCAAGAAGGGGAAAACGGTCGAGGAGGCAGAGGTATGGGACCCTGTTCCTTCTCTGAGTATTCTCCCAAAGTGCGACCTCCATCCGGGGTCGTTTCCGCCGACCGCCCCGGGGCCCGTGGAGGGCCCCGAGGGCGCGAGGACTGTGGACGACACCTCGGGACCCGTCTCTCCCTCGGGGCCCAGGACGAAGTGTCGGTCGTCGCTCAACTGAACTGCGCACGGTTTGGGGGCCCAAAGAATATACACCGCCACCACGTCGATTCCTCCTCTCTCCTCTACCCTCCTCGTCCTTTGCTCTCTCCTGGGGGAGGGAGGGGGTGAGGGAGGTGGTGGTGGTGTATATTCTTGGGCCCCCCACTGTTGGAATAAGCGCACCCGTTCTCGACACTACGCGAGGCGGCCTCGCAGCGGCTCGAGGGCGCACCTGCGACGACAGGGCAGGCCGCGTCGGTCGGCATGCGGCGGGGGAGAGCAAGAACGTCAGGAGGGATGCCACAGCCGTGTGGTGACGAACCGCGCGGTGACCTCGGAATCCCGAAGGACCTCACCGCACGGTCCGCCACCGCACGGTTTTGGGACCCAGGAGGCACTAATCGTCCGAGACCTCCTCGAAAAACGACCCGGGCCCTGAACTCGTGCGGAGACCCCGAAACCCCACTGCCCCACCACGCGGTGTGGTCACCGCATCGTGTGGGGGGCCCCGAGCATGGCGCCTGCAAGATTTTTGTTGTTTGGGGGACCGCTGCCTGGGACTTTCTTTGCGTGATTTGTTTGACGGCCCCTGGGTACGATCTTATTTGGGGGGCCCCCGAGCAAAACGCCTGCAAGATTTTTGCTTGGGGGAACCGCTACTTGGGACTTTCTGTGGCCTAATTGGTTTGACGGCCCCTGGTCCCGACTTGTGCTGGCTCGATCTCGGGCTTGAGCTAGGTCGGGCATGTCCTCCTACAGGCGGATGTTGGGTGACAAATGAAGAATAGCCCCAACATATGCAAACATAGCCAAACATAGTTGAAACATTGTCCCCACACTATTATTTGGCATGTTTATTATTTGACACGTTTTGAATTTTCCTCCTGTAGAGGGACGTGCCCAACTTCAGCCTTGAGTCAACAATCATGCTCCGGAACGGCATGGCGTTCATGTCACGGATACCCTCCTGAAGGCGGCGCGCGTGTCCAGAGTTGAAGGCATCAGGATAGGAAGTGTTAATCCTGTCTCTGGGCGCGAAGACCCCCCTGCGAAAAACTGCCAAAGTTGTAGGAACAACCAGACCATCTAGCATTGATCCTTTCAAGACGTCGGAATTTGGAGAGAAAGTGTCAAAGAATCCTGTCCCTGGGCCTGAACCCCCCCCTTTGCGACAAACTGCAAAAAGGTGGAGCAGCCAGAAAATCCAGCACTGATCCTTTCCAACCTTGATCCTCTCCTTGGCTTTGGTTGTCGCGTTGGACAAGAAGGCCCTCTCGGAGGAGAAAGCCTGGGACCCCGCCGTCGCCGTGCAGGCCGAGCCAGACGAGACAGTGGATGGGCCCTGGCCTCTCCGTGCGGCGGCCGCTGCTCATTCCTGAAGGGTCCGCCCATGCGGCGTACAATCTGGAATGCGAGTCCTCCTCCTCCTCCTCCTCCTCCTCCTCCTCCTCCTCCTCCCTCCTCCCTCCTCCACCCTCCTCCTCCCTCCTCCTCCTCCTCCTCCCTCCTCCACCTCCTCCTCCTCAGGGGGGAGGCAGGAAAACACGCCGAGCGAGAGTCGTGCCACAGTCGGGGGCGCGCAGACATGGATTAGCGAATTCATGGATTAGCGATCCACGGATCGGGGGATGTGCCCTTCCCAAAATGCCGCAGGTGCCGCCTCGCCCGGCGGCGGCAATCCGCCATTTCCCACGGAAACGGGACCCGTCGCTAATCCACGCCCTCTTGATCCATGTCTGCGCTCGCCTGAGTGATGCCGGATACGGACTCGGACTGATGCCCCTGCTGCTCTTCCAATTGCCTCGGCGCGGGCGGTCTGGTCTGTATTTCAAGAGGTCAGGACGAGCACCTCAGCACCACCTTAGACACAAACTTTCGGAGATCCACAGGGCGGCGCCAAAGTTGCCGGGGGGCCCAGGTGCACGGTGCCAAGCGCAAACCCACGCATTCCGCGGGCATCTGGCAGGCTATGCTTCTGTTTTCTAGTGGGCGCGCGTTGTGCTTTTCCAGCGTCAGGACAAGCACCGCAGCACCATGTCCACTCGCCCCTTGCCCACGCTCGTGGGCAGCTCCAGCGTAGATCCCATGTCTTTCGAGGAACAAAACACGGCATAGGCATCACTTCTCGGAGGTCCGCGCGGATCTCTTGGATCGGCGCTGAGCCCCCCTTCCTGGCGCGCTCCACGCGCCAGGGGCGGAGCCGGAGGCGCCGCAAGGGGTAGGTGGTGACATCCGAACCATACCCCCACCAACCATCGATTCTCCTGAATCGATAGGGGGCGGTGGTAGGGTTCGGATCTCGCCGCGTGGTCAGCACATTCCCGACCCTACCCCCGCCACTCTTCTGGTTGCCTGAATCGTCGATCGGCAAGGGTAGGGTCTGAATATCGCCGCCGACACGGGGGTGAAGCGCAGAACCAAGAAATCTGCCTCGGTCCTCCGAAAGCTGATGCTTTACGTCGGCTTGTTGTTCGTCGTGCCTTGGAAGCCGATCGCTGCCAGCAGCGCGTCCGCGCCGTGCACGGCCAGGATCTTGCCGGCGACCTCGGGGCTGCCCTTCTGCAGCGCGCGCAGCCGCAGGTCCCCGGGGGCCCGCGAGACGTCCGAGAGGCATCGCCGGATGCCAGCGGCGCGCGCACAGGGCAGCGGACCGGGGGAGGGGTTCGTTGGCGGCGAGCATGGGGGGGGGGGAACCCTGACCTTCCAGAGAGCTATTTTTTAGCACTGGAGGCCTAAAAACCTAAAAAACTGAACGAAACAGCCTAAAACCAAGACGTAGAATAGCTCTGGAATAACTAGGTTTTTAGGTCGGGTGCTATTTTTTAGCCCTCCTGGAAGGTCAGGGAAAGCGAGAAGGGGCGGGCCTCCTCAGAAGGCTCGGAGGTCCCCCGGCCTTCTGGCAAGAAAACTGATGTTCCAAGCCTGCCCTGGGGGCGCGGAGCACTCGTCGGGCGGCAGGAGGGCCTCTGAGAAGTCCCGCCGCCTCCCGAGGAAGCGGCCTCCTTCTCACCATTTCCCCCTTCCCTCGCCGTCGAGTTGAGGAGCAGGTCCTCGGAGATCTCCTCCAGAGCGAGCGCTCGCCCTCGCACGGGACGCCCATGCCCCGTGCCTGTTTCGATTTCGTGCGCCCGGGATATCCGACATTGAAGGGGAACTGGGACACACAAATAAATACACACAAACAAAACTATCCCCAATATTTTCACATATTTTCTGGGTTTTTGTCTTCCCGCCCACTTCCCATATTTTCCCATATTTTCTAGGAATCGCCGATTAATTGTGTCTGTGTGTGTTTTTTCCCCTCCTGAGACATGCTCCTCGATGGTCCTCGCCCAGGACAGAGCGCACACGTCCGAGCGATGCCAAGGGGTTCAGGGCGACTGGGCCCGATGCACGGGCCACTGCGCCGGACTGCGCCAGAGCATGGGGGGAAGAGAACTCTGCACGTGCACCGCTTATCTGGCCAGAGGCCCACCCTGGACCCAGGATCGGTGCACATACGCCCTCCTGCCGTGGCCGGGAATGCATATTATATGCACCGATCCTGGGCCCAGGATGGGCCTGGCCGAGCTTCGGTGCATGTGCAGGGCCCTCTAGTCGCCCGAAAACAAAAGGCTAGGATGAAGACGACGGCTGAAGCCGGAGCAGGCCGGAGGAACCTGGACGACGCGGGGTGCGGCGAGCTCCGGCCAGCGGCCCGCGAGGGGGAGCGCGCCCGGGGGGGGGCAGTCTCCTGCGAAGGCAGGGGTTTCTTGAAGGGGCCCTGGGACACACAAATAAATACACACAAAATAAAAAATCCCAATATTTTCCCATATGTTCTATGTTGTTGTCTTCCCCCCGCTTCCCACTTCCCATATTTTCCCATATCTTCTGGGGAGTCGACGATTAATTGTGTCTGTGTGTTTTTTCCGCTCCTGATACCTCTGCGGTCAGGACCGAGGCATGCGACGTCCTGACTTTTTCAGGACGGGTTATCCCTGGAAGCCCCGACCCACTCCCCGGGACCCGTTTTTCACCCCGAGTCGTTTCTTGACGGTCCCGAGGCCCAGCGAGGGCCCCCCCCCCGAGGCCGACATTGACCAAAAACCCGCCCGCCCGCCAAGAAAGGCTGATTTTTTGCGACGCGATCCTGTCCGGGGAACTGTTGCTTAGCGTGTCGCGGCGGCGTCCCCGGCGCCACGCTGTGCCCCGACGACGGGCTGCATGTCGCTCCGCTGCGCGGGGCGGGAGGCCGGGAAGGACCCAGGACTCGGGAGCGCACGCGACCTGCCTCCTCCTCGTCCTCCTCGTTCTCCTCGTCCTCCTCGTTCTCCTCGTCCTCCTCGTTCTCCTCGTCCTCCTCCTCCTCCTCCTCCTCCTCCTCCTCCTCCTCCTCCGCGTCCTCCTCCTCCTCCTCCTCCTCCTCCTCCTCCTCCCCTTCCCCCTTCCCCTCCTCCTCCTCCCAGGGGCTGGCCGGGAAGTGGATGGCGCGTCGGCCCGGAGCGCGGCGGGCCAGAGCCGGCGGAGCGACGCGCATGCCCGACCGTTGCGGGGCTTCTGAACTCTTCCGGCCGGGCTGCGGCAGGATAGCTTTCGGAACAAAACCCCGAGGCCGCGTGCTTGCGGGGCAGGTCTCGCGTGGAACCGCCTGGCAGGAAACCAAAACACCTGCCGCCCTCCCGCGCGCAGGGCAGGAATATCGGGCGTTGGCACAACTACGTTTAGTGGGACCTGGTTTAGTGATGTATGTTGGGGGACGCCCCCCCCGCCCATTCCACTAACCGGAACAGCCGTCAACCGAAAAGGCACCAGCTAAACGGCAGACCTGGTGTAGCGAGTCTGGCAAACTTAGGTGCTCCAGGGCCCCGCTACTGACCGGGTCCCGTCACCTGGGGTCCTGGCTGTGCCCGAGAGTGGCACAGACCACTGCCGCGCGCTTGTTACACCTCGGCGGCGCCAGGCCCGCCCTCCAGTGCTCGTAGGAGGGCCAGCCGAGACCACGACGGCTCTCCCGCCCGGTCCACACCCGCTCGGACAGGCGGTCCGGCCCTGCCCTGGGCCCTGCCCGGGTCCCCGGACCCTTCCCGAGGCCTGGCTCGGCTTCGAGCGAGGGCGCCCGGCGGACAGCTTCGGGCAGGTCCTCCGTTCGCCCACGCCCGCCAGACAGCTTCGCACAGCTATACCGCCGCGGCACGCTTTTGGCGTGTCGGGCTGACACGTTTGGTGTGTCGGCCCAGCCTGACCTGCTTTCGGCCAGGATCCGGCCGTGGCGGCAGGAAGCCTCGGCGAGCCCAAGCAGGAGCGAGGTGCGCCCGGGGGATAACCGCCGAGGATGGCTCGGATGGCCCTCCTCTGATGTGCGCGAGCCGCCGGTGATGGCGTACATGGAGGAGCAAAAAGCTGAACACGCCCAGATCAAGCGTTTGCGGCGTGGACCCCAAACAGCGCAGTTCGATAGCACTCCACGGTGTGCAGCTTGTGTGAAGCAACACATGTGCAATCTATGTGGTGCTATACATGCGGAGCAACCTATGTGGTACGATAAATGTATATATTTATATATACACATATGTATTCTGTCGCATTGAAAAAACGTATCAACAAAGAACGGACAACTCCCCAGACAACCCGGACAACCCCGCCGAGATGGAGACCTCAAGTGCCATAGCATGTAAAGGTGGCCACTGCTGGAGCAAGAACACCCTCCCCTATCAGGGATGTGGCCGGCGCACTGGAGAAAATAACCTTTTTCAATCAGGGATGTGACTGGCGCTCAGGCGAGAGCAACATCCAGTGCTCGGGCGACGGCTCACTTCCCAATCGAGAGTGTAGTCACCGCTCAGTGTCAGGCGAGTGCACCACCCCTGTTCAGGGATCTGGCTGGCGCTCCAACAACAGCACCATTCGCCACCTTTCCCCCGGTTCCGTGGGAATCCTGTGTCTGCTCATCCTTGGGTCAGGGCATCTTTGAGCACAGAGTTGCGAGGCAGTCTCAGGCAAAACTGGCTGGACAACCTCGCGCGCAGCATCTAAGAAGCCACAATTTCGGGGATGTCTCAGGCGAAACTGGCTGGACAACCTCAGGTCAGGACGTGCCATCCCCGAGCTCAGAGTTGCGAAGATGTCGCAAGGGAAAGCGGCCGGACGCTGAGGAATGAGGAGAAGGCTGAAGGCTGAAGAATGAGGCGGCCCAAGAGAGGGATTGGGAAAATTGCGCCTGGACGACCCCCGGACAACCCGCTTGACAACCCCCCGGACAATCCCGCCTTGTCCTGGTAGTGGGGGTCGCCGGTGGATGTCTTCTCACGGACCACCTGAGGTCAGGGTATCTCTGGGACCAAGGTTGCGAAAACGGACCACCTCGTGGGCGGCATCTCCGAATCCAGACTTGCAAAGACATCGCGTGCGAAACCGGCCGGAACACTTCAGATCGGGGCATGCGTGAGCCCAGCGTTACGAGGATGTCTCGAACGAAAGTGGCAAGACAACCTCCTCATGTTGAGCATGTCTCTGTGCGCTGGTCCCGCGGCTGGAACTAGCTTCAACAACTACAAGACTCCAGCCAGCCACGCTTCGTGGGAAACAACGATCAATGAGGATGTGCGGGCGGGAGCGCGAGGACGCGAGAGAGGAGGAACGAACAAGGAGGAGAGATGCGCCGGTTCCATCTGGGTTTGACGGGCTGCGCGCATGCTTCTGAATATATGGATGAGTCAGGCATAAGCGAACGGTGGCAAACCGGCACGGCCCAGACAACTCCTTGGACAACCTCGCGAGAAACCGGACCCTTCCCCCGGACAACCCCCTTGGACAACCCTTCCAGGAATTGTCTTTCCATAACAGCATGGTGTCAGCATGGTGTATGTATATATATATATATCTGTATATATACACACAAAACAAATGTATGGGGGGGCGATTTGTGCTGCGCAGTGTATGTTGCGCTACATACGCTGTGTGATCTAGTTTGTGTAAAGTATGCTGCGCAATCTACGTTGTGCAGCATATGTTGTGCGATCACCGGAGTGTGATTGATGTGGCGCGTGTGTGCTCAAATCTGTATATATGGTGCAGATCGCGTTGCGCAGTCGAGGTTCAACCCATGCCTGCGGCTGGGCACATCCCAGCGGGGCTCTTCACTGCGAGTCGGTGACTTGGGCGGGCACGGCGTCGCGGCAACGTCGACAACGGTAGACACGATGATGATCGTAGCGATGCTGGTGACGATGTTGACAACGACGATGGCGCGGCTAGTGCGGGCGCCGATGCTGATCGCGCCGACGACGATGACGGCGTCCTCGCGTCGGTGATGAAGGTTTTGGAAAGAGTCCGACATGTGCGCGCGGCGGGCGCGCGAGTGGCCCGCATGGTATTATTTGAAACCGATCGTGCCCCCCCAGCACGCGCGCAAGGGCGCGCGAATGATGTCGGCATGCGGCGCGAGAGGCCCCTTTGGCAGAATTCCATGAACATGTTGTGAAAACAAAAAAAACATTGTTTTGTCAGGAATTCGCAAGAGCGCGAGCGCACGCTTGTTTGAAAACTGTTGTTGCGAAGCCATGTGTTGTAGTTGTTTGGGCGCTTGGTTTTGAAACCCCTTTCCGAGCCGCGCGCATTTTACTGAGTTCGGCATGCGCGCGCGACGACGCGCGCGTATGCATTTATCTCGTCGCATCTGTTGCAAAGAGTCCTCGCGACAGCACGCGCGCAAGGGCATTCGAGCAATTTCGACATGCGCGCGCGAAGCCCGTTTGGTAGCATGTTCTGAACATGTTGAAAAACCGATGGTTGTCTTAAAACTTCGCAAAACCGCACGCACATTCTATTTTGAAAGAAAGAATCCGTGTTGCGAAATCTTGTGTGTTAAACAAAAGTGTTGGACACTCGATTTTGAGCTGCTTACGGGTTCGAAGGTTGTTCAAGAATTTCGGCATGCGCGCGCGACCACGCGCGCGTGCGCACTTGTTTTTTTTTGTTTTTGCAAGGGGCAGTGGGACACTTCTTATTTTTGGTGCACGAGTGCGCGCATAGTTTTTGTGCAAAAGATGGCAGGGGTTGGCGATACCGCTTGGGCTGGAACGGTGTGAAATCGTATCTCGGATGGACGATGGGGCAAAATCGCATGCGAAATCGGGTGCCGATAATCCGGAGAGGGGGGAGTGTATTCCCTTTTTCAGGAAGGAAAATCTATGCGGTGCGATCCAAGGTCTGTGCAGTCAGTGTATTGCAAATCTGCGTCGTGCACTTACTGTACAGTCAATGTGGTGCAATTTGCGTCGTGCAGCCCTTGTGCTGGAATCTATGTGGTGCTGCGATTTGTTGTTCGCAATAAAATGTCGAATCCACTGCCCGCGCGATCACACCACCCAGCCGCAACTTGGTTTGCAAAACCTATTCAGCGGCGATTGCGACGAGTGCTTTGGGCTGGCTGGCACATCGCTGCGGCCGCGGCCAGCTAGCTTAGCGACAACGGCGCGGCCGCGGTGGCGCCGCAGGCCGGGGACTTCCCAGTGCGTCTCGCAGTCCGCGCTGACGCGCGGGCACTTCAGTGCGAGTCAATGACTCGGGCGGCCGCGGTATCGTCATGACGTCGACAACAGCAGATACGATTACGATAGTAGCGAAGATGGTGACGATGACGACGGTGACGACGGCAAGGCCAATGACGGCGCCATTGCGGGTCACGCCGATGACGATGATGGTGTGTCCACGCGTCGGTGAACCATAATTTCGAAGGATCTCGACATGCGAGCGTGGCCGATGCGGGCGAGTGGCCCGCATGGAAAACTGTTTGAAACAGATGCTGCCCCCTAAAGCAAGCGTGCAGAGGGGCCCGAGTGATTTCGACATGCCCGCGCGAAAGGCCCGCATGGTGGCACTGCTGGGAATCATATAACATCGTGTTAACCCGTAGACTTCGCAAAAGCGCGCAGAGCTTTTTGAACAACCATGGTGCACAACCATGGTGCACAACCATTTGTGTGGTTTGAAATGTGTTCGGGAACCTGGATCGTGAAATCCTACGGAATCATCCGTTTTTGAAGAATTCAGCATGCGCGCGCGACGCCGCGCGCGTGGAAATTGTCGCATTTGGACAATGGATTCTTAAACGTGGCTGATGTATAACAAGCGAGTGGGAGCACAGCATTGTTCAATCAAGGATGAGTGGGGTGGGATGATACCGGGTGCCCCCTGGGATGATGGAAATGCGTAGTGGAAATGAGCGATGGGGCAGAATCGTACGTAAAGAGTACCATCCCAGGGGCAAGCGATACACCCGAGGCGGGCAGACCTAGGTCGGGCATGTCCTCCTATAGGCGGATTTCGGAAGACGGTTGGCTTGAAGAGTGCGCCAGACTAACCATCACCAGTTTTCTAGATACACCAGGTTCCCTGCCCATCCTGAACTGTTTTTGACCTCTCCTCCTGCAGAGGGACATGCCCCACTTTGAGGGCAGAATCCGATTTGTTTGAAGAATGCGCCAAACTAACCAACACTAGCTTTCTACATGCGCCAGGTTCCCTGCCCATCCTGAACCGGTTTGTGCCTTCTCCTCCTGCAGAGGGACAATGCCCGACTTTGAGGGCAGGGTCCGATTCCTTTCGAAAGGACGTCTGCGAGGCCGCCGCGCGGCGGCGACGGGGCGGCGACGGCGAGCACTGGACCGAGCCGCCAGACCGACACCCAGACCTCAGCCCACGCGGGCGGCGACGAGCCGGCGACGGGGCGGGGCGGCGGCGAGCACCGGGGCCGCCTAGGCCGACGCCCCGGGCCCGGTTCCCCCAGAAGCCCGAGCGCTGCCTGGGGACTGCCTCTGCCAGCCTGGAACAGGTCCCTAGCCCTGTGCTGGGCATCTCCTCCTCGCGGTGCCAATCTCAGGGATTCCTTCATTCTTTGAGGGCGCATCCCTAAGATTGCCATCGCCTCTTGGCGTGCCAATCTCAAGGATGGGGATCAGTTCGAGGCTGGGGCTTCCTCTGAGCTCCGCGCGGGCTTCCCGGGACCGGCCACGGGCCCCCCCCCCTCTCTGGCGCTCAGTGCGCTCCAGGGTCGGGCGTGGCCAGAACTGGGTTCCGTGGGACCTGGCTTCTGGTGATGTGTACTGGGGGACGCCACGCCCCCACCCCCCGCCCCGTTCCACGGACCGGAGCCGCCGTCACCCGAAGAAAACATCAGCTATACGGCTGACCTGGCTGAGCGACTCTGGCCCACTTCGGGGCTCCAGGGGCCCTGCTGCTGACTGGGCCCCCTTACCCGGGTCGGCTATATACGCAAGAGTGACCCTGGGTAAGAGTGACCTTTGGTGCGCGACCTTTTTTGGGTGGCCACGGGGGGACCAAACCTGGGCGCGCAAGCAGCTGCTGCTGCTTCGTTGCCAGCCACCTGGGGACCCATCGGTGCCCGCACCAGAGATCACTCCAGCGAAAGGTCACTCTTACGACTCGTCGACTGGGGCCCTGGCTATATATATATATATATATATATATATATATATATACCCGACAGGGGCGTGGCGCTGGGAGGCAAGGCCACGGGCGGCGCCTTGAGGCGCCGCCTCAGGGGGGGGCCATAGCGCCCATCCGCAAGCGTCCCGCGCGGAGCTCCGAAGGTGATCAGCCTCGAACGTATCCCTATCTCTAAGATTGACACGCCAAAAGGCGATGGCAATCTCGGGGATGCGCCCTCCAAAAATAAGGGAATCCCTAAGATTGGCATCGTGATGAGGAGGTGCCCAGCATAGGGATAGGGATCTGTTCCAGGCTGGTAAGAAGGGGTGCCGCGTTCTGCTCCTCGGAAGCCGGAGGCGGCCTGGGGGTCTGAGCTGGTGGGGGCCCCTGCGGGCATGTTGCCATCTGCAGGACGGGGGACGAGGCCAAGGCCGCTCAGAGTCCCCAGACCTCCGACGTCGCGACGTCGCGATTTGTTTAATGCGGGGTCCCCGGAAGTCTCGACCCATTCCCCGGAACCAGATTTTCATCCTGAGGCGTTCTTTGACGGTCCCGGGGCCCGGCGAGGTCCTCGGAAGGTCGAAATCGGCGAAAAGCCTCCCCCAGAGGCCGAGAAAGACAACGAGTTTGGTCCAAGCTCGAACCTCGAACCTCTCCCCCCCCCGTTCCTGCTGGCCGGAACCAACGCCGGGCCACCTGTTTGGGGAGGCAGGTCCTGAAGGAAACGGGGACCTGGGCCCTGGGGGTCTTCATCCCGAGCCGTCGTCTGACAGTCTGGGGGCCCGTGGAGGGGCCCCGACAGCCCGAAGTCGGCGACACAACCCAGGACCCGTTCCCCTCAGGGCCCGTTTCCCCCTTGGCGAACCTCAGATCCCCAGTCGGCCCCAACTCGAGTATAGGCACTCCCCGCGCGCCACGGTGGTGCCACCCAGCTGAGCTCTCGCCTCGCGGGCGGCTGGTCATGAACGGTGACCTACATTGGGAGGGGAGGAGGAGGAGGAGGAGGAGGAGGAGGAGGAGGAGGAGGAGGAGGAGAAGTAGGAGGAGGAAGAGGAGGAGGAGGAGGAGGAGGTTATGGAGGAGGAGGAGGAGGTTGAGGAGGAGGAGGAGGAGGAGGAGGAGGAGGTTAAGAATGGTGCCCTAAAAGGGCCCCGTGGGGCCCCTTGACGGCCCTTTTCTTCCCCCCCCACGTGTCGCCGCGCCGTGATCTCGACGCGCCCAGTAGGACAACGCCGGCACCAAGGCAAACCCGCGGCAGGCCCTGCGCCCCCCGCCCGGGCAGACGATGCCAGCACAGCGGAAAACCCACGGCGCATCCTGTGTCCGAGGCGGAGTTTGCCCTGGTGGCCGAGGCGCTCTCCTCAAGACGTAAGACCGCGCATCGGACAAATCGGCGCAGCGACACTTGGTCGACTACACGTGAGGGTGACCCTAGGCAAGAATGATCGTTGACGCGCTGCTGAACGAGGGACGCGGAGTGGCCAAACCTGGGCGCGCAAGCCGCTGCTACCGCGTCGCGTTCGGCGATCGAGGGACCCCGCTGGGCCAGCACCAAAGGTCACTCCGGCGAAAGGTCGCTCTTACGTCCAGTGGATCATCTGGCGAGGCATGCGCAAATGCAGAGCGCGGCTACGGTGTTGCGCCGGATGGGCCTTCGGCCCATGGGGGGGACCAAGAACTCTTCCTCGTCCTTCCTCTCCTCGTCCGTCTAGTCGATTCAGGTCACCCCCTATGACCAACCGCCCTTGTATTTATTGCCCATCCGGAGGACCTTGCCTGTCCCGTCGCGCCGCGATCCACGTCGAGCCCGTGCCGAAAATCGGTGTCGAGCGCGTCGTCGCATCGGGGTTGCATCCGTGTCGCATGCGTGTCGGACACCGTGCCGAGTCCACGTCGACATCCGCGCCGACACGCAAGAGTGACCCTAGGCAAGAATGACCTTTGGTGCGCGGCCGAGCGGGGCCCTTTGGAGACACCACCAGGCGCGCAAAGCCGCTGCTATCGCCTCGCATTCGGCGGTCTGAGGGCCACATTGGGACCGCACCAAAGGTCACTCCGGCGAACGGTCACTCTTACGTTAGCAAGTGATATACCCGGGGGCACGGCTGCTCAAAATGGGCCCCGAAACGTGTTTAAAACATAACGGTTTGGGATTTTCCAAAATGAAGCAAAAATTCAACCAATCCTGGAAGGGGGTCGGACAAATTACATACGGCACCCCCTTTCTAAAATACGTGTAGACATTTACCACAAATGGCCGGATCCGTCAGTTTGGCGCCCACGTCGCCCCGGCCTCAAAATGGTTTCTTTTGGCGGCGCATTTTTTCTAGCCGTGCCCCCAACAATCTAGATATAGGTCGGGCCTGCCCCCCTACAAGGGGATTTCGGGCGAAACATTATCAACATTTTTGAATTTTGGAACATACGCTAAAATCTGTACACAGAAAACGTCTTCTGACTGATGTGTTCCCTATTCTTGAATCTTCCTCTTGTGGAGGGACAGGCCAAACTTAAATACAGTGTTCCAGGGTGCAGCCGAAACATTTACAGGACAGACAGGGTCCCCCGAATGGGCAGATTGTTTCATCATTTCTGTCTGCCTTTGAAGATGTCTCGAATATTTCCCATATGTTTCGTCAAACACCTGCCGGTAAGGAGATATGCCCGACCCAAGCGTAGTCGAAACGTTTTACAGGACAGGTCGGGCGAACAATTCTATTTTTTGTTAAAACATGCAATAACAAGTAAACAAAAGTCATCTGACTATTTTTCCTATTCTTGAATATATCTCCTGTGGAGGGACAGGCCCGACTTAAACACAGTTTTCAAGGGTGCAGCCGAAACATTTACAGGACAGGGCCCCCGAAGGGGGAGCTTTTTTCATCATTTCTGTCTACGTTTGAAGGCGTCTTGAAATCTGTCCCATATGTTTCGTCCAACATCTGCCCGTAAGGGGACATGCCCGCCCCAAGTGTAGTCGAAACGTTTTCAGGACAGATCGGGCAAAACATTCCATTTGTTGTTAAAGCATGCACGCAAAACCAAAAACACGTCTTCTGACTAATTTCTCCTGTACTTGAATATTCCTCCTGTGGAGGGACAGGCCCGACTTAAATACAGTTTTCAAGGGTGCAGCCGAAACATTTACAGGACAGGCAAAAGGCCCCCGAAGGGGCAGCTTGTTTCGTTATTGTTGTCTGGTTTTGAAGATGTGTCGGATATTTCCCATGTTTCGTTCAACATCTGCCCGTAAGGGGACATGCCCGACCCAAGTGTAGTCAAAACGTTTACAGGACAGGTCGGGCGAAACATTATATTTTCTGTTAAAGCATGTACATGTAGTAAAGAAAAACAACTATTAAAAAAAAAAAAAAAAAAAAAAAAAACGTCTTCTGACTAATTGCTCCTGTTCTTGAATATTCCTCATGTGGAGGGACAGGCCCGACTTAAATACAGTTTTCAAGGGTGCAGCCGAGACGTTTACAGGACAGGCAAGAAGGCCCTCGAAGGGGTAATTTTGTTCTATCATTTCTGCCTGCTGTTGAAGATGTTTTGAATGTTTCCCTTGATTCGTCCAACATCTGCCCGTAAAGGGACATGCCCGACCCAAGTGTAGCCGAAATGTTTACAGGACAGGTCGGGCGACATAATAGATTTTCTTTCCAAACATGTTTTGAAACCTATATTTTTTTGTTTTAAAGAAAAAAGAAAACAAACGTCTTCTGACTACTTGTTTTTCATCATTTCTGTCTGCGTTTGGAGGTGTCTTGAATCTTTCCCATATGTTTCGTCCAACATCTGCCCGTGAGGGGACATGCCCGACCCAATTATAGTCCAAACGTTTACAGGACAGGTCGGGCGAAACCTTATACTTTTCTTTTAAAGCATGTAGTAAAAGAACTAAAAATGTGTTCTGACTAATTGTTCCTGTTCTTGAATATTCCCCCTGTGGAGGAAACGGCCCGACTTAAATACAGTTTTTTTGGGTGCTGCCGAAACGTTAACAGCACAGGCAAAAGGCCCCCGAAGGGGCAGCTTTTTTAATCATTTCTGTCTACGTTTGAAGGCGTCTTGAATCTTTCCCATATGTTTCGTCCAACATCTGCCTGTAAGGGGACATGCCCGCCCCAAGTGTAGTCGAAACGTTTTACAGGACAGGTCGGGCGAGCCATTACATCTTACGTTTTAAAGCAGATTCTAAAAAACGAACAAGAACGTCTTCTGACTAATGTTTCCCTGTTCTCGACGTTTACTCGAGACGCTTACAGGACAGGCAGAAGGTCCACCGAAGCTACGGCGCATATCCGCCCGCGCCTCGGCGAGCCCGCTCGGCCCCGCCAGGCCGCGCAGCGGCGGCGCGCCCCCCGCCCCCGCGCCGGCCCCCGCGGGCTCGCCCGCCGCCGGGGGCGCGGGCCGCGGCCGTCGGCAGGGGTGGGCGTCCTCGCGTGAACCGGGTGTTGGTAGAACTGGGTTTAGTGGAACCTGGTTTAGTGATCTGTACCGGGGGCGCCCCCCCGTCCCTTTCCCACTAACCGGAACTGCCGTCACCCGAAAAAACACAAACTATGGCAAACCTGGTTTAGTGATTCTGGCCAATTCAAAGGCTCTGGGGCCCTACCACTAACCGGGTCCCCTTACCCGGGGTCCTGGCCATACCCGAGTGAAGTCGGGCCTGTCCTCAGGGGGATTATGGAGGAAGGAACAAAAGTAGTCAAGAAGTGCCCCAAAGTGGTCAAAACAAGCTCAGAAACATCGTCCCCAGGCTATTTCTGGACTATCTTATATACGATGCCTCCTGTAGAGGGACACGCCCGACTTACTCCTCGCAAGGCGGTGCTCCGTGCACCGGTCGGGGGGGGGGCAAAAAGGTAGTTAAAGGGGAACGAAGGATGACACAAAACACAAAAAACTCTGAGGTCCGCGCGAATTTTTGGGGTCGGCGCTGAACCCCCTCCTTGGTGCGCGGAGCGCGCCAAGTGTGGCGCCGGAGGCGCCGCCAGGGGGGACCAGCGTCGTTCCGAGAAATCCGCGCGGACCTCTGAACCATATCTCGTTCGCCTAAATTAGGATAGCAAAGCTTACAGTGTTGTCCAAGACCAACAGCGGCCGCTGTTGGGCAGGCAGCCTTCTGTTTCAAATGTGGGCACAGGCCGCGGCGGCGCGGACAGCGAGTCCTGTTCAAAATGAACAGGAACTGTTGATGGGCATTGTACCCATTCTTTCCGTACCCATCTCGATCGTCCCGATCCTCGCGGAGCGGTGCTCAGCGCATCGATCGGGGGGGCATAAAGATAATCTTCGACATCGGGCGCCTCGAAAGAATCGAGACGGAGGTGCTTCGTCGTTTTGGCATCTCGGAGCCCTCGCCGGGCCTTGGGACCGTCAACAAAAACGACGCTGGATATAAAACTGGTCCCGGGGAAGTATTCAGGAGGTCGGGGGCCCGTGTTTCGAAAAAATCGAGACGTCGGGCGTCTGGGATTAGGATAAAAAATCGTAGCCCTGAGATCCTGGCCACTCCATGTTTTCGAGCCCGATGCTTTTTCGCCCCGCTTCGGGCCCTGTGGCCCTCACAGATCAACGCGGCTGAAATAATGACGCAGAAAGATGGGGTTCAGGGCTCCAGTCGTGATTTTTTGCGTCCTCTCGGAGCGGTCCTCCGTGCATCGATCGGGGGGGGCGAAAGCCCAAACATGTGAACGTTTTCTTACTCGGCCTTAAGATATTGGGCGGAAAGAGGAAGGGGAATGAGGGGGGTCTAGCTCCAGACCCCTGCTTAATGCGACTGTTTGCCGCAGTGCGTCCTATGGGGGAGAGGCTCCAATTGCTTGACAGAGGCGCCAAAACCAGCCAATATCTACTCCAGGGGTGGGGGTGGAGGGGGGTGCGAGGGCCCGCGCCGATCGGCAAAACAATGAATAAGAAAACTATCACCATCCTCGCGTCGTAGAAAAATCAAGACGGGAAATGTTTGGCCATTTTCGGCCATGGGGGCCCTCGCCGGGCCCCGGGACCGTGAACAAACGGCTCAAGAGGAAGAACCGGTTGCGGGGAAAGGGTCGGGACTTCCAGGAAGCCCGTATTGGAAAAATCAGGAAGTCGCACGCCTGGGAGGGTGGGGTAGCAACGGGTAGGGTAGAGAATCAATTAACGTGGATGGTTTTCCTGACGCCTCCTGGCGCTGGCGTGCGCCCACGTATCGAGGAATGGGCCCGGCGGCGAGGCGGAAACCAGCTGCATGCAGCAGATTCCGTAGCACCCCCCCCTTTCCCTATCCTACCCTTTCGTCCAGCCCGAATCGAGGGGCAGACAACGGACAACGAAGTTGGTGGTGCTACGGCAAGTCCGTGCAGCGATGACGTCGACGGTGGCTTCGGACACCGCGTCCGCGTCGATCGCTCAGCTTTGCAGCGGTCGCGGCCCCGACAGTTCAAGGTTGAATTCCGTCGGGTCCGCTGGCGCCACCGTGTAGCTCGGTGCTTCAGCGTCGCAGAATTCAACCTTGAACGCCTTCGCTGGCGTCGCCTAGGAAGGCACCAACTATATACCAACACCGATCCTGGCCAGGATCACCCTGGGCCCAGGATCGGTGTATACGCCCTCCTGCCTGGGGCAAGAAGGCATATACACCGATCCTGGACCCAGGGTTCCTGGGCCAGGATCGGTGTTGGTGTATAGTTGGTGCCCTCCGATCGCCAGCGCCGCATGAGCCTGCCGTCCCAGAGATCCGATGTCGTGATCTGTTCAACACGGGGTCCCCAGACGTCTCGACACACTCCCCCGCACCGGCTTGTCGTCCAGAGTCGTTCCTTGACGGTCCCAGGGCCCGGCGAGGGCCGCCAGCGGCCCAAAATGTTGAAAAAAAACCGTCTGCATTTTTCAGTACTTTGGATCGCGGTGGTAATTTCAAGGGGCACAAGGACACACAAACAAAGACACACAAATCAAATGATGCTCCATATTTTCATATATGTTCTGGGTTTCTGTCTTCCCGCCCAATTCCCGTATTTTCCTATATTTCCGGGGGAATCGACGATTCATTGTGTCTGTGTGTTGTTTCCCCTCCTGAAAATTATCCTCCTCGGTGGTGCCCTTCCTCGAGGCCGGAGCGGTGCGTGTGCCGCGGCGGCCGCTTGGGCGGTGCGTGTGCCTCCGCGTGGCCGGCACGGGCCCGCCTCGGTGTTCGGGGGGCTCCGGGCCCGCCTGCCGCCTGCGGCGGGTCGCCCCCGCGGGGCGCCGCTCGGACTTCTGGCTCGTCGGGGCCCAGCGTTACCAGCCTCGGACTTCTCCCGATCCCTAAGATTGACACGCGCCCTCAAACCATAAGGGAATCCCTAAGATTGGCATCGTGATGAGGAGATGCCCAGCATAGGGGTCAGGGGGGTCAAGGTCGCAGCATGCGCCGGAGCGCGCCCTGCGCGGGCTGCTGCGCGTGCAGCAACACACTCCTCTGTTGCCGCCGCCCATTCTTGAAGCAAAACCATCGAAACCCACGAAATCCAGGCTACCCTGGAGGCGAGCAGGGTGTGTCTTGCATGGGCCCCCACTGTACTGGAGCTGGTGACGGTGACGAGAGTTGGGCATGCTGACTGCGATGCTGACGCCGGACATGACGCTGACGCAAATTGCTGGTGGTGGCGATGGCGGCGACGACGGTGAGGCGGTGGGGGTGGGCGTCCTCGAAGCGGTGCTCCACGCGTCGAGGTGCAAAATAACTGCATGCGCTGAGGCCTGGAGTGTGTCCCCCTACAGCCGGATCTTGTGGGAGGAAAGCCCCCCAAAAAAATCCAGCAATCAACAAACATTGCAAAACGCTGTCAAAAGTGGTCCCCAGACAATGTTCCTACTAGTTGTGAGTCTTCCTCCTGCAGAGGGACACGCCCGACGACGCGGACATCCGCGCGGATGTCTTGGATCTGTGCTGGCCCCCCTTGGCGGCGCCTCTGGCGACGCCCCAGGCGCGCCAGGGAGGGGAGGCCAGCGCCGATCCAAGAGATCCGCCGCGGACCTCGGAGACCCTCTGCTTCTGCAGCTTTCTTGCTCCTCCGATACACACCCTCTGCTGGCAGGTGGCGCAGGTGAACGCGTTGAGCAGGCCGAGCTCGACCCCGCAGCGCGGGTTCGGGCACAGCTCCCTCGGGCGCCGTCGGCCCGGGCACGCGGCCAGGTGTGCCTCCAGGGTGGACTCCTCCGTGGAGTCCGCGGTGTCCCACCGGAGGGTCTCCTCGCACGCGGGGCACACGGTGGCGCGGCGACCGGCGACTGCAGGCGGGGCGCGCTGGCAGCTGTGCTGGTCTGGCGCCGCATGCAGGTCGCAGAAGGGCGCCTGGCAGAAGCCACACACCACTGGCAGGAAATCGTGGACGTTGCACTCCCTCAGGGAGCAACGGCCACCTTAGAAGAAGAAAAAACGCTATAAACAAAATTCTTTGGCGCTCCGCGCGGATTTCGTGGATCTGCGCTAGACCCCCCCTGCCTGGCGCGCGGAGCGCGCCAATGGCGGCGCCGGAGGCGCCGCCGGGGGGGCCCAGCGCGGATCCAAGACTCCGCGCGGAACGCCACAAATTTGTGTTTATGGCGTTTTTCTCCTTCTGCACCTACGACTGGGAAGCCTTCCGCGTCCCGGAAGGCCGCTCCGCCGCCGACTTCGGAGGCCACCTCGGAGGGCGCCATGGCCGCCGCACGGGACGGCGAGCCTCGTCGGGCGCGGCCCAGCACGGCCAGGGCCAGGATGGCCACGGCGCGCTCCCGCCCTGACGGTGTGCGCGCTCTCCTCCTAGAGAAGAGGACGGAGTAACTGCATGAATATCAACTTTTGACGGTCCCCGCGCATTTCTTGGATCTACGCTGGGGCCTCCTCTGGACCGTCGAAAGAAACTGCTCGTGCCGATCGCTCTTCTTCTAACTTCCCTGGCTTCTAGCCACCGCGTATGCTGTTTGGCCCGTCCGCCGCCCCGAGGCCCCGAAGCCCTTCCACCTCCTCTCCCTACCCCTCCTTTTCCTCCTCCTCCATATCCTCCTCCCCCGTAGCCATTTTGGCTCAAGTCTCACGGAGCTTACCTCCCGTGGGTCCCGACTCCAGAGGCTCGAGGCCGAGGTGGAAAGGCAGCCCCTTCCCTAGGCCTGGCTGCCTCTGCCAGCACGGGCGCCCCGCAGCCGCGCCCCCTCTGCCTCCTCGGCCGCTGCCGCCATCGCCGAGGCGTCCAGCTCCTGCTGCTGGCCGCTGTTCTGCTGTGTGCGGCGCAGCCATGGCGCCAGGCGGCTCAGCGCGTCGCCCCTCGCGCCCGAGAGGTTCGGCCAAGACTCCGAGGTGCTACATGGTCTGTTCAACGCCATCATGTGGGGGATGGTCCTGGACGGATTTGGGACACCGTCATTGTGGTAAATGCGGGAAGCCCTTCACGGAGTCGGCCAACAGTGCGAACAAGCAGACCGCCCAGCCCCCCAAGCCGCCCCGCTCAAGCTCGCGCGGCACCCGGTGGTCTCGTCGAGTCCAATTCGATGATGATGCATCAGTTCAGCAGCCAGAGTGTGACACCACCGACTCCATCCAGGTCTGCGTGGCCGCCGTCAACTTCTGGCGCAAGATGGAAGGAGGTGGAGGACAACATTACCTTCAAGCAGCAGAAGAACGTAAAGCAGCCAAGGCCGCCGCCTCGGCAAACAAGTCACCCGACCAGCAGACGCAGAGCTCGTCGGACCAGCTCTCAGTGCAGCGCAAGCGCCTGGAGGGCAAGCTGAAGGACGTGGCCTGGTACCTTGAGGGGATTGAGAAGCTCACCGAGAAGTGCCGGACGGCCGCGAATGAGTGCAATGATATCTACAAGGAATGCCAGCAGCTCGAGAGCCAGCTCAAGGTCGCAGCGAAGGCAGCAGCCCACAGGCTGGAGGTGCAGATGGTGCAGCACATGGGGCATCATCAGACACGCTCGAGGACTGCATCAAGGCGAAGCTCCCGCCTGGCGCGGAGATCAGCCCCGACTTCAAGCAGAAGGTCAACGCCATGGCTACGGAGCTCGACGCCGAGTACAATCGGATGGTCCAGGCGTCGGCACAACCAGCAGCTGACGAGCAACCGCGGGAAGGACAAGTACCACCAGCACCAGCAGCTGAACCAGCAGCTGGTCACCCACCAGCCCCTGAATGTGCAGCCGCAGTCGCAGCTCCCAATGGAGAGGGCCTTCCTGCAGGCTCCGCCGCTGACGACATGGAGCTCTCCGACGCGAAGGAGAAGGAGGAAGGGGCCTCCAAACGGGCTGTTCAGGCCCTCTCGGCGGTCTCGCAGATCGGGACTCCTGGGGCTCTGGGACCATCAGCTGAGGATGCCCAGAGGAGGCTCCGCTCCAGGATTGAGGGCTCGGGGGCCGCCCGTAAGTCTGGGGGGGGTAACCTCCGCATCATGAGTTTCAATGGAAGCTGTTGGGGAAGCGTCAAGACTTTCGTCGAGTCCGAAGACGCCAAGTCCATCCACGTTTTGTGTGTTCAGGAGGCCAGGCTTCTTGAAAATCAAGTTTTGGATGCTACTCAGTGGTGTAGCAAGCGTGGATGGAATGCAAATTTCACGGCTGGGGTTCTGAGCGACTGTGGGGCAGTAGCGCAGGGCACAACCATCCTCGTGAGAGACGGGTACGACTTCGGGGTCACAAAAGTCGACTATCCTGCCAATACGCCAAGGGGAAAAGTTACCGGTGTAGCTCTGGAGGTGCCAGGACACGCTCCATTTATTCTATCCTCAACCTACCTTGCCGGCGAGGTTGGGCTGACCGAATTTAACCTCGACCTCCTCGCCAGCCTCGCGCAGCTCGGCCAGAAGCATCGCATGGGCCTGATAGTTGCGGCTGACTTCAACCTCTCGCCTGCCAAGCTCACCAAGAGTAACTTCTGCCCGAGAGCAGGAGTGCAGGCTCTAGACTAGAAACACCAAGAGCCTGATCGATTTCTTCCTCGTCTCCGATTGTTTCCAGGACTACGTGAGTAAGCCCAAGGTCCTAAAGGAGTACCCCCTGAGCCCCCACAGGCCCGTGCACTTCGACCTCGCCATAGATGGGCCCTTCCTGGTGCCCGTCCTGGTAAAGCCTCAGAAGATCCCAACGAAGTTGCCCGTGGGACCCATAGCGCAAACAACTCCCTGGACCCGAACCGAAGCGGCCCTGGACCACATGGAAGCCTTCTTGGGACAGAAGTCGGACTACGGGACCTTGGACGGGGCCACGGACCAGACCTACGAGATCCTGGCCAGCGATTTAACGAGTTTTTTTGAGCAAGGTCACTGACACGCCTCTTCGCAGCCAGCGCCTACGAGGTCAAGGACCTCAGCTCCGATGGGTTCCCGCATGTGCAGCGGAACGCGCTCGCCGTCGCAGCTGGCGCTCTCTTGCAGGACCCCTCCGCTGGCTGAAGAATAAGATTACTGACGCACGGCGTGCCTTAGACCAAGCATGCGATCTAGAATATGATGTTCAAGTTGTCTTGGAGGACCTAGGTTCGGCCCCGGCTTTAGTTGGTGAAGTTGATGAGTTAGGGGCCCTTCTTCAAACAGTTCAAGCTGCCCTACGCGCGGCCCTAGTCGACATCCGTAGCGACGCTCTAAATACCGCAATGGCGAAGGAACTGTTCGATAAGCTCTTCGTCGACACCGGTTAAGCCTTAGAAGGAGAAATGCAGCGCGACCGATCGACCGACGAGAAACTGGGTTGATTGGGCCAAGACAACTATGCAGCACGGAGTGGGATGGGGCCATAGATGGACCAAAGATTTCAGCAGTTGAAAGCCTCAGCAAGTCTGGAAAGCCTCGATCGGAAGGTGGTCAGGAAGGCCGCATGACTTACTTAAAGCTGAAGCCGAACGTCTTTCGGATATCTGGGAGACTACCCCGCAAGAGCAGAAACATAAACATCGCGGACCAAGCCCTGAAGCCCTAGCCGAGCTGGAACCCATCACAGTTGACATGATAAGAACAGCAGCAAAGCGATTCAGCTATCACACGGCCCCCACCTACGACGGCTTCCATCCCAGGCACTTTGCGCTCTTAGGTGACAGCGAGCTCGAGCTCGTGGCCCGCTTCACGCACGCTTTCGAGGCGGTCGGCCTCTTGCCCTCTCAGGTGCGCGCGACCGTCACCATGCTCATCCCCAAGCATATGCAGCAGGAGGGTTCCAAAGACAAGCCCAGCTACCGAAGGATAGGATTGATGAGTTCGATCTGGAGACTCCGGGCCAAGATAAGGCAGCCAGCAGCTCGACGATGGGAGTTTCAAAGCATTAGGCCTTATCTGGCCCATCAGGGAGGGCGAGGAATCTTGGAGACCGTTTTCTTGCAGGCCCTCGAGGCGGGATCGGCCCATTATGCAGGTGTTTCCAGGTTCACTGCTGCGGTGCTCTGGGGCCTCTCAAACTACTACGAACACATCGATCGGGGCAAATGGTTTTCCAGAGCGGTCGGCACCGGTTTCAATCAAGCTGTGGCGGTCTTGATTGCCAACCAGTATGGATCGCCCCGTCTAGTCGCCAACAGGTCGCAAGCAGTCTTCGTTGGCAGCCCGCAGTATGGAGTACCCGCAGGCTGCAGCTTCGCCACTTACGCAATACAGAAATATTGCATTGTACGGCTCGATGTCTGGGTCCAGGACAACATAGATACTAGCCTCCACATGTTTATTGATGACATCATCTTACAGGCCCAAGATAAGTGCCCCAAGACCCTGACCAAGACCCTTGCAGGAGCCTCAAAGAGTATGAAGGACCCCGTAGAGGAGGACTTAGACAGCAACATTGCCCTCCATAAGTCAGCCGTCTTAGCCTCCTCCGTAAAGGTTCGTGAGCCCCTCGTCAAGGCCCTCGGCTCACTAGCAGGACCCCAGGCTTTGGAGCGGGTCGACGCCGCCGCCAACCTCGGTATAGACTACACGGCTGGAGGTCGTGTCCGCAGCGGCCGTGGCCGCGCTGTTCTGCGCCTTCGTTTCAAGAAGATGAAGCACCGCAGGCGCAGGCTCCAGGCTACCAAAAAGGCCGGGGCCGACATGCGGAAGTTGTACAAAGCAGGCCTCGACCAGGCCAACCATTATGGGAGCGAGGTGGTAGGCCTGACCGATTCAGAACTCGCCCAGAGCCAGAACTTCTACCTCAGCACCGTTGGCCCCAGAAGCTCTACGAGATCCCGAGTCCTGAGCCTGCGCCTGCTTGGAGACCCCTCCTGGAAGGCCGCCTTGGGGCCCATCATATACTACAGTCTTTTGGCATGGAGGATCTCGGCCCAACCTGGCTTGCTCAAGTATGATCACGGTGCTTTGAAACAGAAGGTGAACCGAATCTTGGATAACCCCCAAAAAGCTGGAGTGCATGCCGAGGGCCCATGGGGGCCGCCCTGCTGAGCCTCAACGGGATAGGTTGGAAGCTCCTCAACCCGTTCGAGATAGAGACGAGCCAAGGCCTCATCCTCCAGCTCACTGTGACCCCGCCAGCCCTCCTCAAGTACCACTTGGAGGACGCCTGGAAGGCGCAGCTCGAGTTTAAAGCAGCAGCCAAAATGAGACACCCTCAGGACCGTCTGGATTGCTCGGCCGCAAAAGCTGTGCTGGACGACCCGAACCTTACCAAGCCCCAGAGGGGCTGCCTCCTGGCCTACCTTACCCAATGTCTCTGGACCAGGTCCCGCTTGGCTGCAGCAGGTTATGGGATCGACCAGGTATGCGAGTGCGGACACCCGACAGATGCCACGCAGCACCGTTTCAACTGCCAG